GACAAGAAGAGACACACTCCTTAAGAACCAGATTCTGACCACCTCGGACCACAAGTAAGTTCCACGCTGTTAGCAGGGAAGCCAGGGACGCCGCCCGGTGCACTCACCCCTTCCCTGTAGCTCTGCCGTCACACCGCCCACGAGGACACATCTCCAACCTGGGCACACAAACACATCGCCCAGGCAGCCCGTGGAAACGCAGATCCTTCTGATTCTCCGTCTGGTGACAAGGCAGCTGCTGGCCGGGCGAGGACACGCTGAACCGCACGGTCTACACAGTCTTCTGACTCTGCTGCCAGAACGACCCGGTCTCCGTGGCATCAGAGTCTGTTTCACTTCATGGAACAGATTTCAAAAGCCAGACCCTCCCACCTGGACGCCAGACGTCGAACCAACAGCAGGAGGGAATGGAGCTACAGGAATATTAATCCAAACAGTTGCAAAGCAGGATGTTCACTGCGACCCTCAGGACGGCCTCGCTGCACGTTTCTCCAGGGCAGGGAGCGAGCGGCCGGCTCCTACCCCCTCACCGAGGTAGCCCTTCCGCGCCCGGAAAAACGGGAGCAGGTACAACTTTCTGACAGGCTCTGAGGCCAGAGGCTCGGGCTCGAAAGCTCCAGGAGAGGACGGCGCCCGCCCCCGCCCCTTCCCGTCCCACACCCCCCTCCGCTCTCCGCACATCTGCAGACTGGGTCCCACACGACCTCAGCAGCGCCAAGGAGGACCTAGAGCCGAGGCACCCAGTAAGGAAGTGGGAAGGAGCCACAGTCAGCACACGAGGCGGGGATGAGGATGCCTGACGGAGGGGAGGGTCTCAGCCACAGGCCCGGAGCGACGTGCACCCGAGCGCCGGAACCAGAGCAAACACGGGTCCTGCTTGAGGACAAACTCAGCTGTAGAAATACAAACATGTCTCTGTACGAGACACCTGTGCGCAGAGAAGGTACATACGTACACAGATCATATGCGTACACATGTATGTCCACATAGATCCAATCTGGGCCACGGTATCTGAGGAGGAAAAACAATGAAAAAGACCAAAGGAAGCGAGCGAGTGAGCTGGAACCAGAAACGGGCGTGGGGTTTCTAACTGCACAACATAAACAGTAATAAAAGCCAAGCATCGAAATTGGCTCCAAACTGAGCTAAATTTGCGCTCCACGTGGCTGAGCTCCGTAGGCCCCTCCCCAGGCTGCTACTTCCCAGGAAAGCGTTCTCCTGTGTTCCCCTCAGCTACGGAAGCACAAGTACGACACGGAGCTGAAGACCAGTCCTAAGTCAGACACCACTTCCTATGACCAGACCCACGCACGGCCCTACGCGGGGTGGCCTGGACACAGGTCCTGGGTCACAAGCAGTTCGCAGGGATTGTGGAGGCGGCCTCGCTCCCACCTGCCAATCACCTGATTGACCCAGTGACTTAGCAAACAGGTATTATGCACCTGCCAGGGGATGAAAAAGAAATAAGAGGTCTTAGCCCTGCTGTCCACCGAGAGGAAGGGGACGTCTGTGCTTGACCGTCTGCCCCCGACAGCAGCAGTATCATAAACGAGGACCTGGCACAGAGCAGCCAGCGTGTCTGGTTCTGAATAAAAGGCCTCAGGGGCTCCTGGGTGGCTCGGTCAGCTAAGGGTCCAACTCTTGATTTCAGCTCAGGTCATGATCCCGAAGTCATGGGATAGAGCCCCACTCGGAGCTCTGTGCTGACAGCGTGTGGCCTGCCTGGGACTCTCTCTCTCCTCTCTCTCTCTCAAAAACAAAACAAAATTTAAAAAAAAACACCTCCAAGAGCAAAGAGGGCACCAAAGAGGAGGAACCCGGCCTGAAACCGAAATCTCTAACAATCACAAGAGGTTTCACTGCTCACAACCGGAGTGTCCTCAATTTTAAAACGGGAAAGGACAATCCCTACGCCCAGGTTTGTTGTGACAATTAAGCGGCCCGTCAGATGCCTGGCACCTACTACCCATTCAACAAAAGTCCGCCAAAACTGAAACAGACACAAAGCCCCACACGGGATGAAAGCCGCACTGGAGGCTGTGAGAAAGCAGACGGGCCTGGGGTGTGGGGGAGGGCGCGCCAGTGCCCAGGTCTCCAGAAACGGGACAGCGGCACAGACAGCAACCTGGCCAATCAACCTCCCGGACGAGCACGGGGCGCCGCACCCGCATTCTGGGTGGCCAGAATGCCAACCCCCAGCGGTGAGACACAGGGAAATGAGACACAGGGAAAAGAAGCATTTCCTCACCAACAGGAAAATGGAAAGCTATACAAGAAAAAAATGAAATCCTGGTACCGTACTTGAATCAGCAGCCAGAAGTATTTATAGATCTAGAAAAATGAAGACCCTAAATAAGGATTTGGCAGGAAATTATTATATAACTATACGGGGAGTCTAAAGAAACACAGGGGAGGGCACAGAAAAAACGAAGTCCTTCGTGACGACATCCAGCCAGTACACGGTGTCCAAGGACGGGAAGAAAGTGCTAAGTTGAATGTGATTGTTCTCAGGCAATCAGATTAGATGGAAAGGGTGTGTTTAGGGCCTGTAGATCTTAATCAGAGTCAGCAATCTGACTTCTTAAAAGACTTGTAAGAATTATATGGATTTTTTTTAACTTTAAATACACAAAAATAAAAAGAAACTAAAATCATAAAAGCCAAAAGTCCCTTCCTATGAGCTAAAAGATGCCAATCACAGGATACCAAAATGTTCCATGAACAGTAATGTGCTCAGCATTTTTACTTTAACGACCCCTGTATGGCCCTCAAGCCTTGTTACCTTCAGTCAATGGTCAATGATCAAATCCCCACCTTCTAATGTAAACTGCTCTCCACAGTGATTTGAATGTCACTGAAAACCAGCCCTCCGCTGTCATGTTCAGCTCTTATACTTTTACTATAGTAATGGGTCTTCGAATTCCAGAATGTCATGGCCCACAAGCTGCCCAAAGTAAAGCAGGACAAAAATGTGCTACTTCTTTTAAGATAAAGGAGAAATTCAGATAAAATATTTGATGCCCCAGGCAAGGATCCACTCCTTGATATTAATCCAGGAAAAAACATGTCAAACCCCAGTGAAATAACATAACAAAAATCCAACACGGAAGATCAAAACCCCTGGGTTATTTAGGAGATTTCTTGAGATCAGGAAGTTACTAGGTATGCTGGTGGAAGGTGCACACTTTAAGTGGCACATGACCAGGGAAACTCAGATCCCCCCATACGCACCGTTTGCATGTGCCCACACGTGAGCTTCTTCCAGGAGAAAGCAGTATAACTCTGTGGTTAAGGGGCTTTGAAGTTGGCTTGGGTTTAAAGCCTATCTAGGTTAGAGTCCCAAGTCTATCATCTCCTGGCTAGGTGGCCTTGGCTCACAGGAAGAAAAACATCTCCAAGGTCAACTAAAGATTAAGTGAAATACATGCACAGTCTTGAGCAGGGCGCCCTGCACACAAGGACCACTCTCAAAAGCTGGTAGTTAAGGCACAGTCTTGGGTGATGAAGCCCGCTGTCAAACCCTGTATCACAGCCCGTTCCTCTCAGGGTACTTTGAAATTGCCTTGCATGGGTTTATCTGTAAGCATTTTTTAAAATGTTTTACTTATTTTTGAGAGAGAGATAGAGACAGCATGAGCAGGGGAGGGGCAGAGAGAGAGGAAGACACTGAATCGGAAGACAGGCTCCAGGCTCCGAGCTGTCAGCACAGAGCCCGACGCGGGGCTTGAACCCACGAACCGTGAGATCATGGCCTGAGCCAAAGTCGGACGCTTAACCGACTGAGCCACCCAGGCGCCCCTATCTGTAAGCATTTTGTCTCATTACAATAAATAAACATTTATTGAACGCTTACCATGTGCCAGGCACTGTTCAAAGCTTTTGAATTAAATGTTATCAACTCATTTAATTGACATAACAGCCACGGAGGATCGAGGCTCATTTTCCCATTTTCTTGGCAAGGAAACCGAGGCCCAAGGCTACACAGCCAGTAAGGGATGGAGCTGTGATCTACACTTGGCCGGTGCGGTGGTGGGCAGGCTCTTAGTAACTAACATGCCTCCCTCACTGTAAGCTTCACCAAAGCAAAGATCATTTATGGTTTAACACACATTTGGGGCATACAATTCTGTATCAGACCTTCTCCAGACAATGAACAAAGGTTGTTTTTGTTTCTTTGTATGTGTCCCTAAGTGCCTTGAGCAGGTTCTCAAACGCCACCTGAAGAGACGGAAACCAATACGAGGTTCTATCAGGTCCTACACAATGCGACCTACCTGCCCTTCCGACTCCTCCGCTCCATCCCTACAGGCTTCCTAGCTGTCCTGCCAAACCGGAAGCGCATCCCCGCTTCCCCGCGTACACTGTGGGGGTTCACGCACTTCAGACATTTACTGAGCACCTACTACGTGCTGGTCACGGTGAACAGGCACTGGAGTACAGGATGAGGAAAAACAGGACATTAGTGGGAAAGAGGTGAGACCCGAATAGAGTCTGTGGCTCGGTTCATAGGATTATACCGATGCTGATTTCTAGGCGTTGATCGATGTGCCATAGTCGTGCGATCGTCAACATTAGGGGAAGCTGGGCGAAGGAGGCAACAGAACTTTGCGTTTATCTTTGCAACTCTTGGGTAAATTTAACACTGTGTCCAAATTAAACGACCCCCTCACCGCCCTCCCCCTCCCCAAAATCATGGATATGGTGCCGCCTCTGGGAGCTCCAAGGCGGGAGGAAAACGCACACAAGCTGCCACCCTGCAGAGAGCGGCGGGAATCAGGCCCGCGGCAACCGTCCAAGGGCGGCTGGGGGAGGGGCGGCGGGGGGGGCTCCCAGGCCGGGGGTCGTGGGCACAGGACGCAGGACCCTGGGCCTTCCTGGGTAACCACGTCCCGTAAAGGGGCCCCCCGAATCTTCCGGGCCCTCCCGGGACGGGGGAGCTGGGATGCAGGGAGGGCCTCGCTGTACAAAGTGCGCGGCGCGGGGGACTTTCCGGGACCGACCTGGAACTCCAGCCCGTAGATCACCGGCGCGTCGTCCTCCATGCCGCGGCCGCTCACACGCTGAAGGCCTGTCCCTAGAGCCGGCGCGCCCCCGCTCAGCACCCATTCATTCCCTCCCTCCCAGGCTGCACGGAACCGCGAGCTCTTTCGGCCTACGTCGGCTCCCGTAGGCCACACTTCCTGTATTTTCCTGATACGTCATCGGTACGCTCCTCGCCGGCGGCCAATGGCAGAGGCGCCGGGCTCGTGCGCATGCTCATTTCATTCTATCCGGGCTCTCGACCCTACTGACGCCGGGAGGCGGGCCCGGCGGGGAGGAGCCGGGTCGCGAGCCCCTGAGGGGGCAGGGCTGGTGGGGTCGAGCGGTGGGGGAGGGCCCGGGAGGAGGGGAACTGGGAGGGGCGGGCGCCAGGGCCTCGCGGGGTCGTCGCTCCGCCCCCAGCCCGCGGTGGGGGGGCACCGGGACGTCCCCTGCCGGAGCCTTCGGCGCCGCGTGTCCAATCGCTCACCTGGGGCTGTGGCGCGGCCCTTTGTTGTTACCGTTAGTGCTCTGCCCCGCGCGGAGACCGAGGCTTTACCGAAGCCGACTTAAGGTTCCGCTCTCTGACCGTGAGACTAAGGTGTCATACTTGGATTTTAGAGATGAGAGGCTGCAAATGTGACCAACGGATGAGGGCATGGAGGTCGTAAAGTGGGGAGCTAGGATGTGCGCCTGGCCTGTCTGACGCACCTAGGCTCTGCCCAGGGTCCTCAAGGTCAGGGGCCATGCTCCCTCAGGCCTCCGGCGTGGAGCAGTGTCCGCACTTGGGGAAGGACGGGAGGGAGGGCTTCGGGGAGGATGTACTACCTACCAATGCTGATGAGTGATGCCAGGCACCTGACCAGCATTTGACTCTGAATGGGAAGGTGCTGGAAGACCTTGGGTTCCCTGGCCGTCTCCAAGCTTTGTCGTAGAGGACTTAGCATTTCCAAGGTATCTGCCTTGACAGACGGTGTCCTTGGCAGACAGAAGTGAAATTGCATGGAGTCCAAAAGTGTCATAACAGAATCCCGCTCATTAAACTGAATTCCACTGGTTTAGAAGACCACGCACTCCTACAACCGTGTTTAATTTTTTTCTCTACACTTAATCAATCTTCTTGACAAATGAGATCACCTCACATCTGTAAGAATTGCTAGTATCAGAAAGTCAAAAAATAGCAAGTGTTGGCAGGCAGTGGAGAAAGGGGAACTCTTATACCTGTTGGTGAGCATGTAAATGGGGACAGCCACAATGGAAAACAGTATGGAGTTTCCTCAAAAACTTAAAAATGGAACGACATATACTCCAGCAATCCCCCTTCTGGGAGTCAAAGGAAATAAAACCACTATGTCAAAGAGATATCTGCACCCTCATGTCCAGAACAGCCTTAATCACAGTGGTCAAGACATGGAAACAACTTAAGTGTCCATAGAAAAATCAATGGATAAACCAAGTGCGGCACTCACCCGTGCCCACACACACACACACACACACACGCAGTGGAATATTACTTAATGTTAAGAAAAGAAGGAAATCCTGTCATTTGCGACAACATAGATGAGTCTGGACGACATTCTCTTAAGTGAGAACAGCCAAACATGGACAAATCCTGCATGATTACACTTACATGTGAAATGTGAATTTAAAAAAAACAAAAAACTATTGAAATCATTGTAGGAGAGGGACACCTGGGTGGCTCAGTTGGCCAAGCGTCCAACTTCGTCTCAGGTAACAATCTCACCATCTATGAGTCTGTGCTGACAGCTCACAGCCTAGAGCCTGCTTCAGATTCTGTGTGTGTGTCTCTGCCCCTCCCCCTCTCAAAAATAAATAAACATTAAAAAGAATCATTGTAGCATTAGAATGGCGCTTATCTGAGGCTGAGGAGAATGAGATATTGATCAAGGGATACAAATTTTCAATTATAAGGTGAATAAGTTCTGAAGACCTACTTAATAATGTACCCTATAAGTGAAACATTTTTTTATGTTTTATTTATTTTTGAGAGAGAGAGAGAAACAGCATGAGCAGGGGAGGGTCAGAGAAAGAGGGAGACACAGAATCTGAAGCAGCCTCCAGGCCCTGAGCTTTCAGCACAGAGCCCGATGCGGGGCTCGAACCCACAAACCGTGATATCATGACCTGAGCTGAAGTCCGACGCTAAACCGACTGAGCCACCCAGGCGTCGCTAGGTGAAACTTTTGAGAGTAGATCTCAAGCGTCTTCATCACACACCCACAAAAAAAGGTAACTGATCTGCATGGTGGATATGTTAGTTTAATTGTGATACTCATTTCACGATGTATACATATGTCATGACATCACATTGCACATCTTCAATATATACGGTTTTTTTTTGTCAAAACTAAAATAATATAAGAAAAATCATTCATGAAAGGAAGACAAAAATGGCTTTGCTCTGTTGTATCCCAGCGCCTCGCGTCCTGGCAGTCACAGTTAAGGTTTGATGGATAGCTGCTGGATGAATACAGAGCCCTCAGTGATTACAGTAAAAACCGAGGAAGCAGACACACAGATCTGAGCATCTTACCCATCATCTCCCCCCCCTGAGATTGATTAAGTCGTGGAGCTAAGAGAATGCAGAGTCTTTATGCTGCTGGGTTAAATCTACCCACCTATTACTGATATCATTAGTACCATCTTTATGGTTAGTATTATTATTACACAAGAACAAATGCACGGCTATACAAGCAGAAAATACTGGCAAGCACAAAGAGAAATCTCTAAAAATAAGTATTTCTTGGGTGTTTTCGCCAGGAATCAAAAGAAAGTGCCTAATCTTATCTCTTCCACCTGCCCCTCCGGCCCAGGTTTCCCTGTAACCCGAGTATCAGACTGATTTCCCTCCCCAACCCGAGGGATGTGTCAATTATCACCGCCCAGTCCCCGCCCACCTGACCGTCACGGCGCGCAAGCTCCACCCACCGCAGCACCAACCGGAAACGCGCGGAGCAGCCGGCTCCCGCACTGAGCATGCGCGGAATCAGACAGCCCGCCCAGAGCGCGCAGGCGCAAAAGCCGGAGAAAGTGCCGGCTCGAGTCCCTCCTTCCGGTCTTCTTCCACCTTCTCCTCCGGACTCTGGTCACCGCTGTCCGTGACTGTGTCTCCAACCCCAGTGGGCGGGTGGCAGGTGAGACTCAGGGCCCGGGCTGTGGGGAGGGGGCTCGGGTCGTCCCCAAACGCAGCCCCGCCGGCCTGACCCCGGCCCCTCGCTGGCTTGTCCCCTGGCTGCTCCTCCCGCGGGGAGAGGGCGTCCCTTCTGTGTCTCCCTGGGGAGCTCCTCTCCGGGGATTCGTCCCCTGGAGGCTTCTCCCGCGGGGCTCCTCCTAAGGGACCCCCGGGGGTGCCCTCCCCGGGGGCTCCTCCTTGGGGGTCTCCCTCAGCAGCTCGGCCCCGCCCCGAGCAAGCCCCTCTGGTATCTCTTCTTGGCGGTGTGCTGTTTGTGGACAGCCGTGACCTGCCCACCCAGACTCGGTGCTGCGCGGGTAAAACGCGGCGGTTTGTGCGAAAGCACAGACGCCACAGTGAATGTTGCGTGTGATTACACAGCCTGATCCCTTCCAGTGCAACGTTCGGGGCCGAACTGACCGATAGAGTCTGTGCGCTGTGTAGACTGACAGCGTTGGTTTTAAACACGGGGCTCACAGACAGCTTCTAAACGTGTCGGTTTTCCTCACGCTTGGACCAGTGACACTGGGACCTACAGTGTCTACCTTTTTATGGTCGTTGGAAGATCGGGTGTCCTTGCATCCAAATACCTTACCCCTGGCTTCTTTTCGTGGGTTCAGGAGATGGTACCGAGTGACAGCTCAGGAACCGGCCCGCTGTGGCGGGAGGGGGGGCAGGGGGAGCGCAAAGGGACACTTAAGTGGCGGCACCTTTCCCTGCGTCCTCACATCCTGTGGCTCCTGACGGGATCTTCAGGCATCCAAGACCCTGTGTTAGCAGTGTGCCGCCTCACTAAAATTGCAGCTACTGTGCTTGTGTGTGTGGTTCACTGCGGCCTGAAAGTGCCTGTGCACCAGCCACTGTTTGTCCCTCATCACCCCGGTGCACAGTCCCAGAAACCAGGCCTGAGAGGTGAAGTTACCCCTCAGAGGGCACTGAGCAGTGAAGCTGGCACTCAAGCAGGTCGTCAGAGCTTGTGCCCAGTGTTATTCCGGAATTCACCCCTGTTGCTCTGGATCATGATCTGTCCCAGCAACCGAACCTGGAGAGCAGAGGCAGGAAAACCTGGGTAGAGGTCCTGCAGCAGCAAGCGCTGGCAGTGTGACTTTGGCCAAATCCCTTGGTTTTTCCCTGCTGAGTAATGGACGTAATAGCAGTACTTTATAAGTTGGTCCTGAGCGTTAAATAGGACAGTACATGTTGGTGCGCTGGTGGCTCAGGTAAGCACCCCTACTCTTGATTTCCACGGAGGTCATGGTCCCGGGTTGTGGGATCGAGCCCCGATTTGGGCTCTGAGCTGAGCACAGAGCCTGTTTGGGATTCTCTCTCTGTCCCTCGCCTGCTTGCTCTCTCTCTCTCTCAGAATAAATATTTAAAAAAATAAGATCATAAATGTAAAATGTTTGATGTATTGTGGGTTCTTTACATGGGGGCCTTTGAAAGTCCATGCTAATTAGATTTCCACTAAATGGCATATGTTTTCATGGAAATAGGGTTTACACTATTGCAATCTGGAAAAAAAAAACAACTTGGAATTCCAGCATCATGTCCATAATCTGCACTATTGTGGTTTTAATTGTTTTTAATGAAACTTTTCAGTTCTCAAATAATTACGTAAAGTTAGCACTTAAAGAGAAATCATGAGGGGCGCCTGGGTGGCTTAGTCGGTTAAGCGTCTGACTTTCGCTTAGGTCATGATCTCGCGGTTCGTGGGTTCGAGCCCCGCGTCGGTCTCTGTGCTGACTGCCAGCTCAGAGCCTGGAGCCTGTTTCAGAGTCTGACTCCCTCTTTCTCTGACCCTCCCCTGCTCACGCTGTCTCTCTCTCTCTCTCTCACCTAGAAATAAATAAAACATTTAAAAAATTTTTTTTAATTAAAAAAAAAAGAGAAATCATGAGGCGTTAATTAAGGGCCTTGTGCAAAGCACTCACCTGAACAGAAAGTTCACTTTCTTTGCTACCATGTTGATGCTAACATAAGCTAAAATGTCTGTGGCTTAATAAAAATTATTAAGCCAATAATAGAAGTGATTATAGTACACACAAACCACAAACAGATACATGTGCTTTTCCAGTTTTTCGCTATGGAATGTAATGACTACACGTAATATTCATGAAGATACACAGAGATCACGTACACACCGGCCCGGTCTTCTGCCCTCAGCATACGAAATGCACGGTTGTCGATGGCTTTCTCCTGTGTCCCTCCCTGACCAGACTTTCCCTTGCCACCAGCCCCAGCCCCCTCTCCAGATGAATTGGGTATTAGCATCACCTTGCTCTTGCACTTGTATTCCTAAAACAATATATTGTTTAATTTACATGGTTTTGAACTTTATACAGAAAATCATACTGCTTTTTCTACTCCTTTGTGCTAAATTAGATTTGTGAGGTTCAAACAATGGTGCGTTAAATCTAGCAGGCTCGTTCATTTTACATTTAGTGTTCCGTTTTCAACATGCTATCTATTGTGCCTATGGGCAGTGCTGGTGTCCAATTTTTTTTTTTCATCTTTGGAAGGGGAGGTCAGGTATTTTGCTTGGATTTGCTGTTTATAAGCATTCACGGTCATAGCTGATGGTACCCTGCATGGGAACCCCTCTGTGATACGTAGGTCGTAGAAGCACTCCTGTCTTCACCGGGACTCCTGAGAGTGAAAAGAGGTACTCAGTGGAATTTAAGAAACAAAGCAGGTGAACATACAGGAGGAGGGGGAGAGAGACAGAGAGAGGGAACCAAACCATAAGAGACTCTCAGCGATAGGGCGCACACTGAGGGTCCATAGAAGGAGGTGGGTGGGGGGTGGACTAGATAAGTGAAGGGGATTAAGGAGGGCACTTGTCACGTTGAGCACTGGGTGTTACATGTGAGTGATGAATCACTAAATTCTGTTCCTGAAAACAAAAAATAGGTACTTAATTTTACAGTAATCATGGGCGTGAAGTGGGAGCGTCCTGGAAAAATGAAGATGTATGGCTATTGAGTCACCAGATACATGCTTGTGAAATGTGTATCCTTTTCAGCCTGTTCAAATTTTTGCCTATTTTTCTGTTGGGTTGTTTATTGTCTGATTGAGTTCCAGGAATTTTTTATCTATTCTTGATGGTAATTAAGAAATCTGACAGTACCAGGTGTAGGTGAATGTGTGAAACAAGATTTTCACACTGCTACCATGCGTGTAAGTTGGTACAAGCACTTAGGAAGCCAATTTGGCATTTTCTAGGAAGGAAGAAGAGGTGTCTTCTTGTGACCAACATACGTGTAACGTTTATTTTACTTTAGAGAGAGAGTGTAAGCAGGGGAGGGGGCAAAGGGAGAGGGAGAGAAAGAATCTTAAGCAGGCTTCATGCTCAGCACAGAGCCCAACGTGGGGCACTATCCCACGACCCTGGGGTCATGACCTGAGCTAATACCAGGAGTCAGATGCTCAAACAGCTGAGCCACCCAGGCACCCCACACATAATGTTTGACAACAAGAAGAAATTTGCGTATGTGCACCAGGTGACATGTTCAAGAATGTTCATAATGGCGCTGTTTGTAGTATCCAAAACTGAAAGACACCTCAGATACCCGTCACCACGGGAGCACATTTCAGCTCTAACTGGCCCTGGTTTCTCACTAGTGGCACAGTGTTGAGCAAGCTGCCTGAACTCTGCAGGCATCAGCTGCCTCACCTGCCTGATGGAGAAGGTCTTAGGGTGGTTCTGAGGGTCCAGGAAGAACGTACACGCACAAGTCTTAAGTCAGTGCTGAGGGCCTGGTGTGCACTGGTAACTGGTCTGGTTTGCGGCCGTCGGCTCCAGCCGTCAGCGTGCCTCAGTGAGTGTGCCTGTGTCTTGGCATGAGTTTTCTGGCTCACACTCGATTCAGGGGGATGAGGAGAGATTATCACAGGTTGGAAGAGGGCATCTTCAAATGAATCTTAAAGAAGAAGTCAGGTTTAAAAGGCTGGAGACCTCAGCCCCGTTAGGATGGCCAGTGTCAGACAAAGATTAGCAGGTGTCGTCAAGGATGTGGAGGAAACAAAACCCTTGTGCTCTGTTGCACAGAATGTAAAATGGTGCAACCACTTTGTTGGTTGCTCAAAAAAATTGAAAGTCGAATTGTCATAAGATTCAGCAATCCTGCTACTGAGTGTGTATACCCAAAAGAATTGAAAGCAGGGACTCAGAGATGTTTGTACACACACATTCCTACCCACAGTCACAGTAGCCGGAGTGTGGAAGCCACCCACGTGTTTATCAGTGGATGAGTAGATAAACAAAATGTGGTGTCTGGACACAATGGGGTGTTATTCAGCCTTAAATAAAAAAGGGATTCCTGCACACTGCCGCCTCGGCGAACCTTGAAGACATTATGCTGTGTGAAATAAGCCAGTCACAAAAGGACAAATACCATGGCTTCCCTCTTAAATGAAGTGCGTAGAGTAATGAAGCTTATGGCGTCGTAAAGTAGAAGCCAGTTATCCGGGCTGGCAGGGGGTGCGGGGAGGGCCCTGGGGAATTAGTGTCTAATGGGACTTTGTTTCAGTTTTGCAAGATGACAGGAGATGGATGGTGGTGATGGCTGCGCACTGAATGCACTTAATGCCACTTAAATATTAACTCAAAAATGGTTAAGATGGTATGTGTCTTTTAACCGTGATCGATCAATTGATCAGTTGATAGATAGCTGGATAAATATTTTCTAATAGCCTTCACTTTTTGGAGCAGCTGGAGGTTTAGTGGCTTCCGTGTACACTGTGCCTCCCGTGGGCAGTACTGTGTTACTGGTAGTGCATTGCACTGACACATCATTATGCTGCAGAGTCCATAGTTCACATTAGGGCTCGGTCTTGCATTGTGCATTCCGTGGGTTTAAGCAAATGTATGATGTCCCGTAGCCACCATTTGTTTTTGAGTTTAAATCAGCTCAGTAATAACAGAGAAAGCTGATGAGGTTGGTTCATTTCTGTCTTGGCTTCAGGACCATGGAGAACGCTAACGGTGCAGGCGGGAGTGCACCTGAGGACTCTGGTGCTGCCGAGGAGCGAGCCGGGAGCACCACTCCGCAGGGAGAACAGGGTCAGCTCCTTTATCATGAGGAGACCATCGACCTCGGTGGAGACGAGTTTGGGTCTGAAGAGAACGAGACTATATCGGAAGATTCTAATAACTTTGTGGATAAGCTTAATGAGCACATGATGGAAAGCGTCCTCATTTCTGACTCTCCAAACAACAGCGAAGACGACGCAGCCGAGCTGGGCTGTTTGCAGGGTGTCGTGGAGCCTGCAGACGGTCACGCTGATCCCACACCGGAAAGTCTGCTGGAGGAAGGAGCAGCCGACACCCTGAGCAGTAACACTGGAAGTGACAGGGACACTGGGGACCGTGCACCTAAAGGCGGCTCCGATTCCACCCCCGACCCGGAGCTCGAAGAAGTAAAAGGTGCGCCCGCCTTGGGAGAGGAGGGTGCCGAGGACCTGGGCCCGGAGAGTCAGGGGCACAGCCCGCCTTCCAGACAGTCCCCTCGGAAGGAGGAGCCCGTGCCCGTATGCACCATTTTCAGCCAGTCGCTCCCTGCCCACTCCCAGCCGCCCCTGCTGCTGCGGGACGGCTTCCAGTCCCAGATGGTGAAGTCTCCTAGCTGCAGCGGTGCCAGCGACGCAGTGGCCAAGACCCCTCCCCAGGCAGTCCAGCCAAGCCCCAGCCTCAGTAAATTTTTTGGAGACCCCACCAGCACTAATTCCTTGGCCTCGGACTTCTTTGATTCCTTCACCACCTCCACTTTCATCTCTGTCAGTAACCCCAACGCGGGCTCTTCCATTCCAGAAAAACGGTCTTCACTCTCCACTCCGGTGGGAGAGAGATCCCCGGGTTCTGCTGAGCCTGCTCCCTCCGCAGGGATTGAGAAGTCAGAATCGGGTGTTTCCCCGACTTCCCTAGAAATTCCTCAGTCCCCAAAACCATTTTCCCAGATCCAGGCCGTGTTCGCAGGGAGCGAGGACCCATTTGCCACCGCCCTGAGCATGAGCGAGATGGATCGCAGAAGTGACGCCTGGCTTCCCGGGGAGGGGACCCGGGACATCCTGATTTCTGTGGCAGCCCAGCAATACAGCACGGTGTTCGTGGACAAGGAGAGCCTCACCATGCCAGGCCTCAAGTTCGACAACGTCCAGGTAGGTGCGGGGCGCCTCGCGAAGCGCTTCCCCGGAAGCAGGTCCTTCCGGGTCCACATCCGGCTCCCATCCTTCTCGTTCTGTTTTCCCTGGGTTCTCCCTCATGCCCCATTCATGTGTGTGTGTATGTGTGTGCGCACGCGTGCACGTGTGTATACACGCACATATAAATACCTTCAAGGACTGAAAAATCCACCTTTTTCAGCAATTTCTAAAATTCTCATTTTGAGAGTCTGTTATGTCACTAGTTAATTTGGAACCATGTTTACTTCCCTAATAAAATGTGTTTAAGGCACTAATCCGAGTCTTGGAAGTGAACGCCAGCAAGGTAGAGAGTTACATCAGAATTCTCTGAAATGGCTGTGAGCCTTGTGTGATCACGTTATTTGTAACATTTAAGCTTCAGTAAATAAGCCCCCATTCCTTTGTTTTTTTGTTTACCAAATAACATGCTTTATGTAGAAAGAGTTTTTATACATTTCATTAAGAAAAATATGAATGGCCCCACAGAATAACAAATTACAAAAATGTATGAATGTTCTGTAGAATAAACAGTAACATAGAAAAGTTTAATCTAGGGGCGCCTGGGTGGCTTAGTTGGTTGAGCGTCCAACTTTCGCTTAGGTCATGATCTCGCGGTTCATGGGTTCGAGCCCCGCGTCGGTCTCTGTGCTGACTGCCAGCTCAGAGCCTGGAGCCTGTTTCAGAGTCTGACTCCCTCTCTCTCTGACCCTCCCCTGCTCACACTGTCTCTCTCTCTCTCTCTCCTAGAAACAAATTTAAAAAAAAAAATTAAAAAAAAAGTTAAATCTAGAAATCAAAGACAGTAAGATTTTTTCCATTTTCCATTATCTTACTTATTTTTAATGTTTATCTTAAGAGAGAAAGGGAGTGTGAGGAGGGGCAGAGAAAGGGAGGAAGGAGGGAGGGAGGCAAAGACTCCCAGGCAGCCTCCACACTGTCAGCGCAGAGCCCAGTGCGGGGCTCGAACTCATGAGCTGTGAGATCCTGACCTGAGCCGAAATCAAGAGTTGGACGCTTAACTGACTGGCCACCCAGGTACCCCTACATTTTCTGCCACCTCATTAGGCATTTCATTCACAAGTGTCCCGTGCTTGACACAGTGTGGGGAATAGCCTGTCATGAGCAGCCCTGCCGGGAGCAGAAATTGGTACAAACTTTCTTAAAGTTTTTAAATCAGCATCCAAATGTGTACATTATTTGATCCAGAAATCCCACTCTTAGGAATTATTTTTATAATATAGGAAATACCGTTCCTGGCATACAAATACCCAGCTTTGGGGACGTCCGTTGGAGTGTGTGGTTTATTATTGCAAAGCATCTGAAACAGTCTAAAAGCCCTTTATCAGAGGCCGGTCGAGTACATTTGCCCCATCTTTATAGCGGAATGTTTATGTAGGTATTAAAAATAATGGGGGCGCCTGGGTGGCTTAGTCGGTTAAGCGTCCGACTTTCGCTTGGGTCATGATCTCGTGGTTCGTGGGTTCGAGCCCCGCGTCGGGCTCTGTGCTGACTGCCAGCTCAGAGCCTGGAGCCTGTTTCAGTCTGTGACTCCCTCTCTCTCTGACCCTCCCCTGCTCACGCTGTCTCTCTCTCTCTCTCTCTCTCCTAGAAATAAATAAAACATTTAAAAAAAATAAATAAAAATAAAAATAATGGTGCAGGGGCACCTGGGGAGCTCAGTCGGTTGAGCATCTGTCTGACACTTGATTTTGGCTCGGGTCACGATTTCTCAGTTTGTGAGATGGAGCCCTCGGTCGGGATCTGCACTGAGCGTGGGGCCGGCTTGCGATTCTCTCTCCCTGCCCCTCCCCCATGTGTGCGGGTGCACTCTCCCAAAATAAATAAGTAAACTTTAAAAATAAATAAATAAAATGAAAATAGAAATGATGAGAAGCAGAATTTTTAATGAGGCTTATATTTATTAAATTTGAAAGTCTAGTTACGAGATGACCTGAAGCGTGCACAGTGTGGTAAAAATGTTCACACACTCCACACTCCACACACGTGACACAACACACATGTAACACATGACACACATGACACACGGTGCAGCACGTGATGCACATGTAACATAGCATGTGACACAAGACACAACATGATACACGACACGTGACGCGCACGTGGCACACACAACACACATGCACACACAGACAACACTCGCTGGTTCAGTCAGCTCGCTGGCGGGCGGTTCCGCGCATTGAGCAGACCACAGGGGGGATCATCAGGGGCTGCACGCCCGTGCGTGGGGGGCACCGCCCCGGCCAGGCTGCCAGCCTCCGGCCCTGCACACATCGGTCCCCCCGGAGCTGGAGGAGGGACCGGCGGTCTCCCGCGGCCCCGCCGCACCCCCGTGGCTGGGTCGGAAAGCCCAGCGTGTGGAGGGAGTGTCGTGGCCTTGCTAAACCTCGGTGAGCGTTGGTGCACCGCTGAGCCCAGGTCGAGTGCCCCGCTGGGGGCCTGGCGCCCTTGGGTATTTTCTAGGGACCTAGAAAAGTGAGCTCGCCAGCCTTGGACAGTTTGCATGTCAGTCTTGACAGCATATCCGGGCACCAAACACACATTTATTGTGCGCATACTGTTTACCGGGTGGTGTCTGAGGCGTCCTGTCCCCCCTCTCCGGCGGAGTGTACTGAGCATACACTTACCTTTGCAGGACCTTTCTGGTGATTTCCACCATGGACTCTGAGTTCAGGGATGCTTGGCAGTGTGGGATTTGATCGACGGCTTCACGCGGTCCTTCCCCGCAGTGGGGGCGTTAGTGCTCTGCTCCGCGTCTCCTCCCTGCCCCCTCCTGGGCTCTCCGTGCTCTGCTGCTCCATTCCTGTGACCTCCGCGGGTCTGGCCTTCCAGCCCTTCCTTCCCAGACCATCTGTGGTTTGCAGTTTGCTTCCCCCACTGATTGTAACTCAGGGGGGAAATCCAAGGTTGCCATGGAAACGACGTCGCACCCAGAGGTTGGAGGGCATTTGGGAAATGTGTCCTGCTGCTTTGCTTTGGTTCGCACGAGGTCTAGGGTGAGCACGTGACATTTCACGGATGGGGCCACGAGCGCCAAACAAGGGGCAGGCTGATTAGCGTCAGACTCATACCTTTTTTTTTTTTTAATCTTTTTTTTTTAAATGTTTTATTTATTTCTGAGAGAGAGAGAGACAGCGTGAGCAGGGGAGGGTCAGAGACAGAGGAAGACACAGAATCTGAAACAGGTTCCAGGCTCTGATCTGGCAGTCAGCACAGAGCCTGACGCGGGGCTCGAACCCACGAACCGCGAGATCATGACCTGAGCCAAAGTCGGACGCTTAACCGACTGAGCCACCCAGGCGCCCCAAGCGTCAGACTCATTCCGGAAGCGCTGACGCCCCATGCTGGCTTCACTGGGGCTGAGTCACGTGAGATCCTGGCACAGGTCCTCCACCCCCACCCCCACTTGGAAACCCCTGTTACTTCCGTCCCCAATTCGACGCTGCTAACCATGCAGTACAGTACCCGGGATGTCCCTCGAGTCAGCAGGGACTTGAGATGCCCCCCACACACACATGGGCAAGATGCAAGCGGCCAAGCAGGAGGCAGCGATTCTTTTCATTCCCTGCAGGGCCCTCAGTAACGTCTTGCAGTTCACAGTGGCTGTTTTGGGAGCCTCGTGGCAAATTGAAATTTGAACCAAGAGTAGTTCCCAAAATCCCTCTGACCCTCCCACGTAACGAATGCGCTAGATGTGTGTTCCCTTGTATACCATCCTGCGAAGAACCTTTCATTCCCAAAACAAAAGGAAAACCATATGGTTAACCTTGAATGAACGGGCTGTGTTTATTTGCCAGAGGACTTTAGATTGGTTTTTTAGTAACTTTCTGTGCACACCAGGCTTTTAAAACCATTTCTCGGATTTGCCTGTTAATAAGCTGCTCCTTCGTCACTGTTACTTTGCAGACCTGTTCGTTCACGATCAGCTTTCTCAAACACTCGTGTTTGACTTTTTTCCAAACTGTTCACCTGTTGGTACCTAATTAACAATTACCTTCCTGTGGGATAAAACTTGAGAAGATTTTGAATGTGTTTCTTTACGAAGTCACGTCCACAGCAGTCTGCGCTAAGTTCGCGGCTTAATGGCAAGTGTGCGTCACGCCCTCCCGCCAGAGCCGCGTCAGAAGGAGGACAGGCTCTTTCGGCTCGTCGTGGTCATCCATAGGTCTCTTCTGGGTCTTGTTTTAATTCTTTCTTTAATGTTTATTTATTTTAGAGAGAGACACAGAATGCAAGTGGGGGAGGGGCAGAGAGAGGGAGACACAGAGTCTGAAGCAGCTCCAGGCTCCAAGCTGTCAGCACAGAGCCCGACGTGGGCTCGGACTCACGAACCGTGAGATCATGACCTGAGCCGAAGTCGGCCGCTTAACCAGCGGAGCCGGCCAGGCGCCCCGTGGCCTCTCTTAAAGAAGTGAAAGGGCAGTTTGTGGGGAAAGAGCTCAGAACGAGTAAGGGTTGGGAGTATTGTTTGCACGGTGCCTGCTCGCTAAGAGGGGACGGAGCAGAGGGAGGACAAAGCAGGAGCAGCAGCGGGTCCGTGGCTAGGGGAGTAGGGCCGGGCCGGGGACAGCAGGGGCCCGGGGCCTGTCCCAGCCTGCTCCGCCTGTGCCAGGGGACCCACACGCCTGATGCGCCCTTGGGGACCGGATCCTTCCACCAGCCCCTCCCCTGCCCCCGCTTCTCCGGCCCCCGCCCCCTTCCCGCAGTCAGATTCGACAGGAGTGCCCTCGGGGAAACCCGCACGGTCTGCATGAAACCCCCTTCCCGGGGCCGCTTTGAGTCCTGTGTCAGGAACCTCCCGGAAGCCAAAGGCGCGCCTGCTCCTGGAGCTCTGCCAGCTTCAGATAGTCTCAGCTTCGGTTGTTTCGTCCTCATGTGCGTTTCTTTTTTTTTTTTTTTTTTTTTTTTTTTTTTTTTTTTTTTTTTTTTTTTTTTTTTTTTTTTTTTTTTTTTTTTTATTTATTTCTAGGAGAGAGAGAGAGAGACAGCGTGAGCAGGGGAGGGTCAGAGAGAGAGGGAGTCACAGACCGAAACAGGCTCTGGGCTCTGAGCTGGCAGTCAGCACAGAGCCCGACGCGGGGCTCGAACCCACGAACCGCGAGATCATGACCTAAGCGAAAGTCGGACGCTCAACCGACTAAGCCACCCAGGCGCCCCCTCATGTGCGTTTCTAAAGATGGGGTTTTTCTGGATGCGCAGTATGTTTACAGCGTAAAGTTCAAGGTTGACAGATTCTCTTTTCCGTCCAGCACTTCAGAGATGCCCTCCCATCGTGCTCTGGACGCGACGTCCATCATAAGTCTTGTCTCGCGGGCGCCTGGTGGCTGAAACAGTCCCTTTTTCACATCAGGACGGTCCGGCCCCAGTGGCTGGGGGACGGGCAGAAGCCAAGGTCACTCAGCCGCTTTCGTCCCCACGCTCACAGACGGGCCTTCCCCGGGCTCCTGACCCACGTTTGCTTAACTGGGCCGAGGCGCGTGCGCGTGGAAGACCTGGAGGGGCCGGGCCACGCCATCCGGTGAGCGGGCCAGGCTGCCTCCCCGGGGAGCGTCTGCCCCATTCCGCCCCGTAGGGCCTCCCCAGGAAAGAGGGCTGGCTTGGCTTTAGTCTTACGGCTTTATGGAAACAGGTCACGCGTGTGACGCACAGCTCCCTGGTTTTCAGCGTCTGGAGGGCCGTGCGGCCCCCCCACCACCAGTTCTCGCGAGGCTTGTGTCTCCCAGAGGCCCAGCCGCTTCCCTCCCGCTCTCTTCCCGTGTGCCCCGCCCCGGCCCCGGGCAAGCGCCGATCTCTGTCTCACCGACCCTCTCTGCTTAGTCTCGTACGAACGGGCCCCCAACACCCGGTCCTTCATGCCAGGTCATCCTTAGGATGACACCGTCGGGGGCCCAACCCGTGCACACGCGTCAGCACCTCGTTGCTCTGTATTGTCAAGTAGCCGTGTTTGTGCCGGTCCACGTCGTATTGCCCATCCCCCCTTGTGGGCATTGGATCTGTGTCCACTTTTTGGCCTTTATGAACACGGCCGCTCACACGCACCCGAGAGCGGGTTTTTCTGTGGACACGTTTCCTTTCCTCTTGGGTGCGAACCTCGTACCCAGGAGCGGACTGCCTCGGCCCCGTGGCAGCTCTGCGGCTCACGGTGTGACGAACGTCCCTCCCCACTCTGCCCTGCCGTGGTCCCTCCCCACTCTGCCCTGCCGTGGTCCCTCCCCACTCTGCCCTGCCGTGGTCCCTCCCCACTCTGCCCTG